TTATTGTAATAAGTACAAGTACATGTATAGTATGTACTTGGCCCTGTCTCTCACTCTCTTCTTGCTCTCCCTCCTTTTCCAGATAAGCTATATAAGATACAAGCATTTCATATCAAGTATATTATTTGATTATAAAACTACTCCATCAAGGTAAGGCCTGAACTGCTCTTCGTTTATTGTATGTGTGTATTTGTAGTCTCTTGCCTGGCCTACAGCGTCTACTTCTTGGTATACTGACGGCTGTTATCTATTCACAGTTTAATAAATATTTTCCATTGAGTAGAATATTATCAGAAGAGTATCAGGTAATGATAATTATGTATGCACTACACTAGTCTAGGTGCAGCAAATTGACAAGGCGTTACACTGTTGCCCAGTGTCCTTTTTGAGCAACAAGTATATTAATTCCAGCTGGGAAAAAATTGGCCCAAAATTTCTGCTAATTTTGAAAATTTTGTGAAATTTAAACTCTAAAAATTTAATAGCCGGGCCAACTTGGCAAAGGTGCAGTTACAAAAATAAAATCAGCAAAAGCAATTTTTCTGTCCATTTATGAAGAATTAGGGCAAAGAAATTTATTTGCTTAAAAATTTGACCAATGATCATAGTTTCTGGTGATAATCAAAAATAGCTACAGTGTTGGAATTCTTCATTTTTATTACCTTTAAATCTTATATGGTGTAGGAAGTAGGAAGTTTGAGTTAAGTCAGTTTTTAAAGTGGCTTAGAATTCAAAAACCATAGGCTTACATATGTAGCTTGATTATATCACTTAAGTAGGCTCTTGTATGTACATGTATATGTGTACGTGTTTGTATAATTTGGTTAATATTTGAGTGATTGTTAATATTGCTATGCTTCATTATATAGGCAAGAAGCTTGCTGTCTAAGCTTCTCATAATGATAATAACTGGTAAGATAATGTAACAAATTAACAATATCGATTATTATTTTTTTGTAATTCAGGAAAGCTGGCATTGTGGCGCTACATGGCAGTCTGGACCTTTGCTGTAAGTATATGTACATGTAACTCAGTTAGCCTCCTAATGCACTGTTTTCAGTTACATGTACATGTATATACTAGCTTACATGGCATGTATACCGTATAGTGGAAAATTTTGGAAGGAGTTAAATTTGGCAAATTGCTAAATTTTGGTGATTGCCAAATTTTAATTTGGTGAATTAGTGGCCACGTGCCATTGAACATGAGTATAATGGCTCAAAATGGTGGATTTTATTTTGGGGAATGGCAATTCCCTCCAAAATTTCCCACTAGATGGTATCACCTACAGTATGTGTATATGTACATGTACATGTGATTATGCATGGTAGTCATGAGGCTTTATTTGTTTGTTGAAACAATAGTTTTGATTTATTGTTACTCTTCAATTAAAGGAAGCTACTTGTGTCATCATGGGAATATCATACAATAAGTCGTTATCCACTCCAAAGTATACTGATTGGACAGCAGTCTATAATGTTAACTTTTGGAATAACGAGACCAGCATTACTCTTCAAGTTAGTGATGCATGTACTGTAGTCACATACAGTAATAGCATTAGTACATGTACTTTGGATCATAGGAAGAAAGTTGTCATGTTTGATAAACTTGTGTGTACAAAAGCATCAAAAAGTGCCATATAGCCACAAAGCTCTGAGGCAATAAACTTTTGCAAATCAGGCCACAAGTCTTTTTTTACAAATTAACTTTCGTAGTTCTTATTTTAAAGTACACATGTTTATAGGGTGATATGGATAATTTTATGGAATTGACTTTCGCGAATACAGAAAATCTGCGAAAACAGTGAAAATTGCACCCTCGAAATTAAGCGGCTATATGGTATACCGTTACTGTATACATCACCTTTTTCAAACATTTAAAATTTTGTGTTTTTAAAGAAATGTGCTTAAAAATTAGACCAAAGGCCCTGTGGTGCAAAGTATTTCAGCATAAAATCGCAAGAAAAGAGTTCTTCATTTTTGTAGTAATGTTACTCATGTACATGTGTGTGTACATGTTCATGTCCTCAACTTTGAACTGATTCCATTCAAATTTGAATTTTAAAGTTGCTCAAAATTTGGCCAACAACCAAAGGCTCTTTAGACTTACCAAATTTCATCTAAAATGGCTAGGAGAGAAATCTCTTTTTGTCATTTTTCTGATACATGTGCATGTCCTACGTTTATGTAGAAATTTTAACTGACTCTGATCAAATTTTGATTTTTTTTATTCAAAAAGTTGCTCAAAAATTAGACCAACAACCAACAGTTATAACTTTTAAGTTGTTTTTGGCCAAATTCTGTCAAAAATGCAAAGGAGAGAATTCTGCATGGTACATACGTTTGTATACATGTACTTACTTGTATATTACATATAAATTTTGAGAGCTGATTTTGATCAAAATTAAATGTTTATAAAGTTACTTCAAATGCCATATACTGGATTGTAATGTGTGTCAGCAAATGAAGCATGCTGTTAGCTAGCATGGCATTCTTGTGGTTGGGAAACCCTGTATACTATGGTAGTACATACTATATGGAAGGAAAATTGACAATTATATTTTGCAATTAGTGAATTGGTGCCAATTAAGTTTACAAAAGCATGTACATGAATATTTTGCTTTATTCTGAACATGCTTAATGACTGTGGTTGGCAAATTGCCAATATTAAACCACCAATACATACATTGTATTATAGAATCACCAATATTTTAGTGTTACTAAAAATGCCTGCTATGGTATTATTTCTAAAAATTGAAATTTTTACCTTCCCTTAAATCCTTACCCACCCTCTCTCTTTCTAGGGAACTATTGAATCTTTTAACATACAGACCAACAAATGGGCATCAATGTTAGTAAAACAATCTTTCACCTGAGCTGAATTTATTTATTGTTTTGTGTTAAATTCATGTACACTGTAGGTATGTATTTAAAAGGCTGAAGTGGCTACAAAATAAAATGTTGTCTCATTTTATTACGATTATATTTCTTGCACTGTGGCACGGTCTATGGCCAGGGTACTTTATTACTTTGACATTTGAGTTTATAGCCATCATATGTGAAAGACAAGTATGGATATTCTCTCTTCTTCCCCCCCCCTCTCTTTCTCTATCTCTCTGATATCTTTTGTACATGTATGACATAGTTCTTTTCTTTCTCATTAGTTTATTCAGTTTATTAAAAAGAATACCAATTTGACTAATGTCACAGGACTGCCCTACTTGTTCCTTTGGTGTGGGTCTTACTTTCTAAAGCAAGTGATGTTAATGTATCCATTAATGAGCTTCATGCTACTCTCCTGGGATGCTTGTTGGCAGGTAAAAGAAGAGAAAGAGGGAGGGAGAATAGAGACAGTGATTATGTGTAATCGTCTTGATTCGTTATTAATATACTTTCATCTACTTTTTTAGTTTATGTCTTCCGTCTATTGGATTGGTCATGTTACTGCGTTGCTTTGGCTTCTCTTTCCCTTCAAGTCATTTACCCTATTCTAACACTGCAGTGACTGCACACATGACATGAACACACATGCACCCCATGGTTATTTTATTCATTATTAATTATTCATACTCTAATTAATTAACAATAAAATTAACTAATTAATCGAAAGTCAATTGTAGCCTAAAATGGCTACTTTTGACCTGTTCTCCGCAGTCAAGGACGGAGACACAGATTCAGTAAGGAATCTCCTCTCCTCCAGAAGATGTCGCTCACATCTTAACGACAGAAATGAGTGGGGAGACACCGTCCTACACTTGGCAGCCGAGGCCGGGAACTCTGAAGTTTGTCAGATGCTGATAGCTGGCGGTGCCTCTGTGACAGTGAGGAATAATAGAGGCGAGACCTGTCTTCATAGAGCCGCTGTGGGGGGACACACTGACTGTGTCACTGCTATTGTTGGTGAGTTAAGACAGAGGGGAGGAGGATGATGTATGTGTAGCCTTTTGGGTGGGAACATTCATGAATCTTGCATTTCAAAGATTTCACAAAAGCAAAATTTTGTTGAAGTGAGGTTTTTGTCACAGAAAACATGCTCGATAATTTACGATGTGGACGAAAATAGATAAAAATTCACTGTATACATGTACAGCAGACTGTATATACAGCAGCCATTTTTTACGTTCTTTTTTAATGTACAGTAAATTTGTTCCTGTGTTTGTTTTTAAGGTCTAATCACATTTCCCCTCGTTATGTTGTTAGTTAGATTATCAGGCACCTTGTCTCTTAATAGCCTTCTTCTCATTCAAGTACACGTATATGTGCACTGTATCTGTTTATTTTCTGTTCAAGATTAATCTTTCTCCTCTCCCTTTCTTTCACTTACTCTCTCTCTATAGAAAGGGATAATGATCCAGAGGCTGTTAATTCACAGAATGATGCTGGTTACACTGCCCTTCATCATGCTGCCAAGCACGGGACTATCAGCCTAATACAGGTAAGTACTTGTGCATTATACTCTATTACCTTAAGCCTTTATCCATTATACTCTATTTTTACCTTAAGCCCACATGTAGATACAGGCTACCTTTAATTGTGTCTACAAAATCTCAGTGTTTTAATGATAAAGTTTAGGCTTTGCTATTGTTTATGTTTACACATAGCAACTTCAGTGTACTACACGTATTTTCCCTTCTTTTGATGCATACGTGTACATTCAGCTTTAATGATTACTCACTAAATTATGTACATACATGTACATGTACATGTACATGTACATTGTATGTGTACATGTACATGTACGTTGTCTATACAGCACTATGTTAAATACATGAACACTTTTACTAGTTTTATTAAGATTATATTGTACTCCAAATGTACATTTTGTTTTGTCGTACAGTAATTTGGTGCATTTTGGGATTTAGAATTTTGGCACTTATGCCAGATTTAACTCAAAGTTTATCAAAATTATGAAATTTGTTTATCATTTTGTGAAGTGCTTATTGATACAAAAGTGGTATCTAAAAATTGACTAACTGCCAAAACTAATTTTAAAATACAATACACAATGACCTAGTATGTGTAGTACATTGTACATGTACATGTATATGCAATTACTTTACATAGATTTGTTCACTTTAATTACTATCTGCAGTACATACACGTATGTACATGTACATATACATGTACATGTACCTTTCAATGTGTATTTTGTGAATGTACATGTGCATGTACTATGCTAATTACAATGGTTAACAAGATTGTTATTTTCTTATTATTTTCTGTCCCATATAAACTGTTGTTTAATTCACCCTCTGTATTCTGATTTATGCTAACACACACACACATCAGTGATTGTAATAACAACTGTCATTTATGCTACACTCACTGACTTGTTTTGATTTACCTGTTTGTAAATGAAAGTGATGCACACTCAATGGGACAAATGAAACACAACACATGTACACACTCTCACTGATAAGCACATTCTTATAACTGATAGTTTCACTAAAGATGCCCTATTATATACAATAGGTTAATTTATCAGTGTTTTATACACCCACTTGGTTGGCTTTACAATGTATAAAGTGTTTGAGTATTTTAATGCATGTGTACGTACATGTACATGTAGTCTCTTATATGTATAATGTACATGTTTGTGTTGTAATTTTTAGGTATTATTGCGTAGTGGGTCCGACCGTATGTTAGAGAACAATGCTGGGGAGACTCCTTATATGGTAGCACACAAATATCAACAGTTTGAAGCTGAAAGACTATTACTGAATATTGAGCAACAACATGGTGAGTATATACATGTATGTATGTACATCTTTAATTATCTGTTGTCTTTGTTCCTTCCTCTCTCCTCCCTCTCTCCCTCCCTCTTCTCTCCTCTCAGCTGATAAGGCTATACAGGAGATGAATACTAAGCCAAAGAAGATCATTGCTGCTTACTCTAAGGCACTTAAAAATGCACACAAACCCGAGTCTCGCATCCGTCTCATGTTTGTTGGGGATTCACAATCAGGTTAGCATAAGAATCAGAGAGAGAGAATGTGGCATCATATCCTAAAGCCCAACATCCACTCTATGGCGACTTTGTTGAAAGCAACTTTGTGGTTACTTTGATGTCTGTCAACTTTGTTGCCTGAAATAGAACAGTGTTCTATTTTAGGCAACAAAATTGCTGTTGATTTCAACAAAGTTGCCTAATGGATCCACTATTCCACTTTGTTGAAAGCAACTTTGTGGTTACTTTGATGTGCTGTCAACACTTTTGCCTGAAATAGAACTGAGTTCTATTTCAGGCAACAGAGCTGCCATAAGATCAAAGTAACCACAAAGTTGAATAGTGAATGGTGGGCTTTACTAAGATAAAAGTCTATAGAGGCCATGAGGCTATATGATAGTAATCATAGTATAGGAGTTCCTCAATAGGGGCCTACATGTAGCTGTATCAAAGGAAAAATCCTGTTTGTATGGTACATGTAAATGAACAAACCAAGGGATATTATGACTAAACGCTTATACTACCTTGTTCACATGTTAAAGTGTTAAAATAAGTGTTAGATTATTATAAAAACTATCACACCGGAATGTGTTGTGTGACTATACTCTTTTGCAAAATTGCCATGCATGCAACTCAAAAAAAATACTTGAAGGCAATGTTTTTGACAGAAAATTTTTAAGTCCATAAGTAACTCTCATTTATTCACAATTTCACATAAACAATACGAACTACATGTACATGTACAAATGTATGAGTGTAAAATCCTCATATTGATGAGCAAATGTACTTACCTATTTGAGCTGATTCTGACCAACTATAAATTTTTAATTTGGCCAAAGACCTGTGCATAAATAAATATGTATTTCATTACAAAGGCTAGGATCCGTTTTTATTAGATTTTCTGATAAATGCATTACATACATGTTTTGATGTTGTGTAGCATAAGCTGTAGCTGCTTCTGATCAAAATTGAATTTTTAGAAATTTTGAAGCTGCGTTGAAATTTAGCTAAAGACCATTGACTAGGAGAGGCCATTTCATCGATAATGATTTTGAGAGAATTTTTTTTATGTTCTTATACATAGAGATTGTGGGAACTGATTCCAATTGAAAGGTGTACAATATACATGTACACATAGTTCACAAATTTAAATCAACTTCAGCTACATTAAAACTTTTTACACAATATAAAAACATAATGCTTCAAACATATTTTTCTTTCCTAGCTATTTTTAATGAAATGCATTGTGCTATAGTACAGTCAGACTTTTGAGCAATTAAAAAAATTCATAAAAATCCAATTTCAGCTCCAGAGATGGGGCAAATACTTAGGTACTTGTACTTAAGCACACCACTGCCAAGCACTTGTGTAATGTGCATGCACTTAAGTACTTATATGTTCATGTACATGTACATGTAATTACATAAGAGCATTTTACCGTATAGCTCCAAATTTTCGTCAGTCAAAATTTTTGTCAGGTACTTTTGCTTGACAAAATTTTTAACCGGTTAAATTTTTGTTCCTGTGGATTAATGATGAAAATTTTATTGATGAAAATACAAGAAAATTAAGATTTTTTACGAAATTTTTGACTGACGAAAAATTGGAGCTATACGGTTTGTATATTTGCTTTAAAGTACTTAAGTAGAATAAGTACTCTGTTGAAGTACTTGTACTTATTATTACAGCTACTGACACCAATACTCATACTCATACTTGACTCTTAAAATTTGTAAAGTTCTCCGCCCCATGTCTACCCAGCTCACATGCTGGTTACTTAAAAACAATTCTAGATAATTTAATTTTGCAAAATCTAAAATTAATTTTTATTAGGCAGACACAAAAATCCATTGTATGCAATACTTCACCCAAATTCTCCCTAATTATACATGTACACGTAGTTACAGAATTAAATCTACATGTACATGTATATTGCCGTTACATTAATCTAATATTTTCTATTACTTTAGGCAAGACAAGTCTCAAGAAGACACTGTTTGGCGAGGGATTCAACGAAGAAGAGGAGCCCACGAAATGCATCGGAGTGGATCCCTCCATTGCACGCATACAGTTCAAGCAATACAGGGAGTGGATCGTACAGCCATTATCCAAAGCCGACGCCCACAGATTAAACCTCGAATACAACGACGCTATCATCGACTACATACTCAACGAGATTAGGAAGCCAGGGGTTGCAGATGAAGTTGTAGACCTCAAGAAACTCGGACTACGAAAGCAACGAAAGAACGTAGAGTTTCAGACAACACCCTCCATCATCCCAGCACTCTCACTGTCCAATGACTTGAGCTATGAAGAAGAAGAGGAGGAGGAAATGGAGCAAGAAGAAGAACAACAAGATGGTGACGATGATGATGATGATGATGATGACATTGAGAGCGACGGACAATTCCACACACCTTCCTCCTCCTCCTCCTCCTCTCCTTCTTCTCTCTCTGACTCTCTTCAAAACACAACTTCTAAAGATGGAGGTGGTGGTGCTTATAAGTCCAGAGGAAGACAAGGGACAATAGTTAAGAAGAAAGGGAGCGGGGAAGGAGAAGAGAGCAACAACCAAGAGGAGGAGGAGGACAAAGAGAGACAAGAGAGAGACGAGGAAATGAGCATCGATCCTAATTCAGCAGTACCCACTAAACAGCAGCAGCAATCGAAGCTCACCGTCTTTGACAGCACCTTTGAAATGTCTAAGGATCTCATGGAGCATATTCCTCTTGAAGTACTCAAGCGTCTTGTGATGAGGTGGCCAGTCGATGGTGAAGAGTCTACTACTGACATGGACTCTATCAGTAGACGCCGTCTCTTGATTCACATATGGGACTGCTCCGGTGACCCTCTGCAGCTTTCAGTCGTTCCTCTCTTCTTTTCTCACTCTCGCTCAATCTACCTCCTTTCCTACGACACAAGGAAGGACCTCTCTCAACCTTCGGAGAGTTTTACGTCTCACAAGTTGACAAGTCTCACAGGCTCTCCACCAACAAACTCCGAAGTCTTAGAGGAGTGGCTAGGGGGAATTATGGCACAATCGAATCACACCCCCATGCTTAGCACCTCCTTCCCAACCCCACAATTGCCTCCCGTCATTTTTGTGACACCTTTTGCTGATCTGCCGAATCTGAAATCCTTTCACAAGTTCTTTGGTCTCCCATCATTTGAAAGATACAAGCGTCACATGCTAGAGTCTAACCTTATATCAGTTAGCAATGCATATGAGGGAGAATTCTCTTCAGAGTATCGCAGTCATTATTACCTCCGCCGTGAGATTGATCACCTTGCCCGACAGATGCCCTACATACAGGACATGATCCCGGTCCAGTGGGTCATGTTTGAGCAGTTGCTTCATTCCCTTCTTGAGCAGAAAAAGATCATCATACAGCTCAAGGACCTGGAGCGCTACATAGCCGAGCGCTGTGATATCATCGGTCCACTACAGGTCCAACCTGTCCTTTCTTATTACAATGATGTGGGTCTCATTATTCATTTCCAGCGTCACCCTGCCCTCTCCCCTCTTGTCATCATCAAGCCCCAGTGGCTAATGAGCTCGCTTGCTTCAATTTTTGCCTCATCTTCAACGAACTGGATCACAGCTGAAGTCCGTCGCTCGTTTGAAGAGTTACTGGTAAAAGGATACATACGTAGAGATGTTCTCAATTTGGCTTATAGATGCTCCCGTTTGCCTCATGGCTGCTGGAATGAAGCACTCTATTATATGAATTACATGGACCTCATTGCATGTCATCCTTCTCTTCATGACACTACCTCAGTGTACATACCTGCTCTAGTCAATAGAGCTCCCCCTGCCTTTGCTTTCGGCCCGACAGCAGAAGATCCCGTCACTCTTTTCTTTTCTTGTGGCAAGTCCAAGTGCCCTCTCTCCCTCTTTAATCAGCTTGTGGTTCGCTGCATACGATCCTGTCGATATCCTCCAGTTTTATACTATGAGATTGTTCATCTGAGACTGAACCCCACCCATCACCTCATACTGAGGCGGGACGGCTCCAGGATTGCTGTTCTTGTCCAGAGGAACACTCTGAGCTTTTGTTCAAATTGTTCCGAAGGTAAAGACACATCAAATGGTGTTGATAAGGAGTGTCAACACGTGACACATTTTGCTGACTACGACAGAGACTTGACTGCTTGTGCTGATCATCTCGAAACGTACAAGTCATTTCTCGACGAAGTCCCTTTTTCATCTCTCGATATATCGGATGAGATCTCGTCTCTACATGATGTGTGTCACGCTGTGTTAGCATTTCTTGAATCGACGCTTGATTTCCTGATCAGTTGCTGGTATCCTGGACTAGTGTTAGAGATAATGACTGAAGGTGGCATGATCATTAATCAGAAGTGGAGAGAGACAGTTCTGAGAAGGAACAAAGCAAATGAGAAATTAGCTATGTGGTTTCATTAGCGCCAGCTGATCATTATTTTTATGTTTTATAATAATTATTATATTATTATTACTATTATAAATTATAATTATGCTATTGCTTTTGTGTTTAATTTTACTATTGTATTTTTATTTTTGACGATAAAATATTAATTTCATCTACGTACAATTAATCTTTACTATTATAATTATTTTTATTTTTGACAATAAAATATTAATTTCATCTACGTACAATTAATCGGTGGGTGGTGTTTAAGGCGTGGTGGTATAATAATTTCACGTCTAATTTTAGCGAACGCAACATTACACCACAGAGGAGCAAAGCAAAGATGGCCACAAGCTGTGCCAAAGGAAACAAGCCTTTTCTCTGCGGAGTCGTAGAAGGTATCATTATAACTGTTATGAATATTCAGTAACATCGTTCTCTTCTTATTTGAAGGTTTTTATGGTCGACCGTGGTCTACAGAACAACGATTGGACCTGTTTAACTGGTATGGAGGAGTGTTAATTGGTACTCAGTCTCGTCTTCCTTAATCTCTCTGTCTCTCTCCTCTAGTATGTCTCAATGGACTCTCAATTGTTATTTGTATGCTCCTAAAGATGATGACAAGCATAGATCCTCCTGGAGAGAGCTCTACCTTCTTGAAGAAGCTGGTACATAATTAAGAATGATTGTGTACATGTACTGTGTGCTGTGCAAATTTACACATGTACATAGGGTATTAATTTTCTATTATCTTAATTTTTCTGTTAAATTTGTGTTTGTACATGTACATTTTAATGGAATTTGTACTTGTATATTTTTGTGCGAATTGCTGTAGTTTTTAGAATTGCATACAGTGTATTCAAAAATGACATACGTGTACATGTGCTTCTTTAATATTTTCATAATAATAATAATATTTTTTTTAAATTATACATGTACATGTATAATTAGTATAATACATGTATTAACAGTTTAAAAATACTTATTAATTATACAATACTACTACATGTACATGTACATCATATGATTTGCCTTTTACCTTATTACGTGTATCTTTCATGCTAAATGAATTTGTTACTATGTACCTGTACATGCTGATCATGTATGTACATGTACATGTAGGGTTTTGTTACAAGTTTTTATATTTTTCTTCATACAGTACATCTATACATGTCATGTAAAGATGATATAATTGTGTACATTTCTAATGTGAAATTTTCCCTTGTCATTTGTGTCTGTTTTTATGTTGTAGTCTCATCGGAAATTGTTGGATGTAAAGAACATGATTGTTTTTAATACTGTAATTCTCTTTTCCTCTTTCTTTCTCTCTTTCACTCACTCACTCTCTCTCTCTGCTACTCTTATTCACATAAGATCATCTTGCAATGCTAATAAAGGAAACCAAAGATCGTGGCATAGAATTTGTGTATGCCATTGCTCCGGGCCTAGACATCACTTTCTCTGATGACAAAGAAGTTGTGTCATTAAAAAGGAAACTTGAGCAGGTAATGCATACCATAAATGGACATTACATGTACATGTAATGTATGTACACGCACGTTATACATGTACATGTATACATTACATTTAATACACATTGCAGCCCTCTACTACAAATTTTGAAGGGATGTTACATTATGACTAAAGGTGATAGTGAGTCATCATTATTATATCCATTATCATGATTTTTATCATGATTTGTGGTATATTGCCAATAAAAACAGCCAAGACAATTGTGTCTTCGACTCTTTGTGCCAATTGTTAAGTCGCTTGTGTTCAATTACAAAAGTAGGAGAGTGTAACCTTTATATGGGCATACTTGATTAATACTCCTCAATGAATTTGTTTGCTGTCAGTTCATGCTAGGCTGGTTAAACTATTAATGCATTTTCTTTATGTCTTATTTGTTTGTATGAGTCTATTATTACCTTGCCTCCTCCATCATTCACATGTACATGTACATGTACAATCTACGCACAAGTGTATGTACAGTATATGTACATGTATGATACCGTATAGCCAGTAATTTTGTAGGTCCTATATTTTGCGAAATCTACTAAAACTCCATTTTGCGGATTTTAATTTTACAAATTTTACCATGTGTGCCATGCAGGTACCGTATTAAATTGATTTTTGCGGATTAGGAAGGAATCTGCGAAATCCACAAAATTTTCAACCCTCGAAAATAATCACTTATATGTTATTTATGCACATGTACATGTACATTAGCTCTCTTTTACTGCACGCACAATGTGTACATGTATGTACATGTATATACATGTATATAAATAGTACTTATTGTTCTATTTTATGGTACGTGTATTACATGTGTTTTACATTTGCTGTATGATTATTATTACAATGCAGGATACAGTTGAATGCTTTAAAAAGCTGTACATGTAAGTAGTGAAAGTAGAGAAGAGAACTTCGTAGGTAGTTCATAGGTAGCTATTTTACTTCGCTAAGTACCCTTCGTTACTCTTCGCTGCGCTACACCCAGGAAGTACTTCGTGGTACTGCCCAGTCACATGTTCTGTAGTAGCAAGCGCTCATGCACTCAAGAGGCTCTCCAAGGACTTAAGGATGCTTCTCTTTGCTGTCTGTGCTCTCCAAGTTCATCTGTAGTGCTGCTCTCTGCTTTTAAAAGCCTGTTTAGGAGGCTATTCACTCAATTCTACCGTTGATCGAGCTACTGTTTGCTACTGACCATGTGCACTACTACTACTGTCACATTGGGCATGCACAACAAAGAGCACCAGACTACATGTACATGTACATGTACCTACGCAACAGTAGAGTAACTGTGAAGTAGCTACTTAGCTTTTTTAAATCACTTACTCTAAATGTTTTACATTTTATTATTGTTATTGTACAAATGTAGGTATTGGCTCTAGGATGTAATTCATTTGCGATACTCTTTGATGATATTGATCCTGATCTCTCATCTAAAGATGCTAAAGTGTACTCGTCTGCAGCTCATGCTCAAGTTACAATCACTAATGACCTTTATTCATCTCTCGGTGAACCACAGATATTCTTATTCTGCCCAACTGGTGAGATGATGTGTATGTACACATGAATAATTTGGCTACATGTGTGCCACAATTTTCTTGATATAAACTTTACATAAATGTGACCTACACGTACATGTACATGTACAATGTACATGTATTTACATGGGGAACACTTAAAGAGCTTAAATTACACCTTTGCAACTACAGATGTTATTTCATCATTAATTTTCTTCCTATCATGGCATATGTACATGTACTGTTAATACGGTACAGACTACACATACATGTACATGACTACATGTATCTCAGTGGTACATTTCCCTAATCCATGTGTTATACTGTACATGCATTTCTTTTTCCTTATTTTGTCTTTTTATTGTTCCCCTTCCTTTTGTGTACCTTAAAATGTGTACCGTATTATACATGTATGTACACATGTACATTGTACATCCAAAATAATGTGCATGTATGGCTTACGTGTACATGTACATGTATACACTTTTGATTGTGTACTGTGCGTATCACTTTATTATTTCATTACTAGAGTATTGTGGGTCTCGTGCTGTTCCAAGTGTTAAAGATTCACCATATCTTAATTACATTGGAGAGAATCTTAGACAAGGAATTGACATCATGTGGACAGGTAAACTGTTATAGTAAATGACAGACATTGTTTATCAAACTATCAGTAATAGTATACCATTAGTGCTTATTTTTGCACAGCATTTATTCCCTTGCTGAGCTATGCTGTACATACATGTACATGTTTACATACATGTAGATATTTCTTGTTTTGGACTTGGCAGCGACATGTAGGCCACATGGTGATGATGATGGTATTCATTTTTTGTGTGGATTATTTGAATAGGTGCTAGTAGTCACCATCTGTGAAAATGGGCAATATGTACATGTACATGTACATGTAGTACCGGAAAGCTTCTGATACCGTACAGTTGGTAAATTTCGTGGAGTATTAATTTTCGTTAATTTCGTGGTTAATTTTTATCGACGAAATTTTAACCCCTACCCACCCACACATAAAAACTAATTAATGGGCCATGCAGAGCTCTAACTACTATTTCCAAGCCAGTGGAGGAGCCAGAGTCTTTGTCTATTACTCCTTATTCCACTATAAGCTATGTGTTGGAAGCTAGTGCTGTAGATCCAAGTGAAAAGAAGAGTGCTAACTGCCATCCACGAATATTTATACCCACGAATATTAGCTTCTAAGGACATTTTGGAGAAAACACGAAATTTTGGACCCTCGAATATTACCAACCGAACGGTACCTTTAAAAATAAATTTAGAAATACATACATTACATGTACGTGTACATCTAGCGTACAATATACACTGTACAGTACTCATGTAATTAATGTTTGTTTAATGATAAAACTAAAGTCTTACTAACATATACATGTACATGTACTGTATACAAATTCTTGTTCTTTACTAAATTAATTTTTCAGGTCCAAAGGTAATCTCAAAGTCTATCTCCATATCGTCTATTGAGGAAGTGTCTTCAGTCCTGCACCGCCCACCAGTGATATGGGATAATCTTCATGCCAATGATTATGATCAGCGTCGTCTCTTCCTGGGTCCTTACCACGGTCGCTCTACGCTCCTCTACTCCCATCTCAACGGAGTCCTCACGAACCCAAACTGTGAATACGGGGCCAATTACATACCAATACACACACTGGCTCAGTGGAAGAAGAGTGGACAGTGTTACTCTGACAGGATGAGTCAAGATGTGGCCGGAGGGGGAGAAGGAGTGAGGGCTGGGGAGACGGAGGAAGAAGGAAGGATGGAGATGTCTGATGTTAGTGTTTATAATCCGACTGAAGCTCTTGAGATTGCTCTACACGAGTGGATGAATGAGTTTTTATCGTCAAAGCGGAAACTAGAGGATTACGGTGGTCCTGCAAAAGACTCTAAATCTGTTCTTAGAGCTGCAACACAAGACATGGAGGAACAGTATGAGGGAGTGAGCAACACTAATGACAAGAACAGTGGTATGACTGATGATGGGAAGGACCGAGCCTCATCAGGGAGCTCTGATATGGACACAACCTCAGAGAATATTGATGACTCTATTGACAGTGAGGATCTACCCACACCACCTTCCACTCTTCACGCTCCTCCTAAAGGAGCCTGTCTCTTTACCATAAGGGACTTACGGATCCTCGTTGACTTGTATTACCTACCACACATTCACGGTAAAAAAGGATCCTTTATATTAGAGGAGTTTGGTTGGTTGAAGAAGCATGCGGTGTACTCGGACGTTGTTAAGAAGCTAGAGGAGAGAGGGGGAGGGGAGGGAGAGGTGGGGGGAGATGAGGAGGGTAAGAGACAGGAAGTGAAGTTAAAGGTGTTGTCTCAGAGTGACGGGGAGGAGGAGGACAGAGAGGAAGAGGAGGAGGAGACACAGACTGGGGATAATGATGAACTGGCTGAGGTGAGGAACAAGACACACTAAGTACATGTACATGCATGTACTGTACATGTACATGTATTGGGGTTTGTCAGCTAGCACTTACATTGTGTAGTCGTGTACATGTACATGTAGCTTCCAATTTTTGTTGTTCAAAATTAATTTTGTTAAAGTTGTTAGATATTTTTGTGTGATGAAACCTTTCTACATGATGCCAAAAAAAATTATTGACGAAAATTAATGTTAAAAGGAAATTTATGATTTTGATGCATTTTTTGACTGACAGGAATTCGGACAGTAATGTATCCTCTATTAATGTACAGTGTGCATGTATTTATCATGATAATAACAAGCATGTGCCATTTGTTACAATTACATGTACATTATATGTACATGTTGCATGTACTGTACTATAATACATGTGCATTATGTTAATCAGTAATAATCTGTATTATTGTTTCTTTCTTTTCCATCTTTGTTCATTTACACGTGTACATGTAGATATGGTTGGAGAGGGCACTTAGATTTCACAATCTTTGTGAAGATGTCAATCTTTGTTTTGATCACTTGACCACAGTACCAAATCGATCACTATTATATGACCTGTATCAGTACATGTCAGCAGCAAGAGAAACGACTGCTCTATTGGACTCCTACATATCATGGCTAGGTAAAGTACTGACATCATAATAGCATTATGTTGTCGTACATTTTTAAATTAATTAAAATGTTTTTAAGTACTAAAATATACTAAGTACATGTACATACAGTAGCTGTTATGCAAAAAATACAAGGAGGAATTCTTAAGCTATGAAAGGAAACAATAGAAATTTTACTATAGTGTAAACTGCCTTTTATAGTATGAGCTACAATGTACATGTACATGTACATGTACACTAGGATTACATTTCCTAAAACAATGCAAATTTACTCTGTACTTACCTGTACCGTACATGTATTTCATTACATATTTACATGTACATATTTTTATATACTTGTGTTTCTATTACAGAGGCTGGAGGGAGTCAAGATCATCCAAAGCACAAGCCTCATTCAAGAATGGGAGGGATAGTAGCTGAGATGCTGGTAAGAACCATACAGCCCCACATGTACATGAATACATGAGATTATGAGTACAAACTAGTCACTTTTTCTTTTCTCTTTCTCTCCCACACCACACTTGCACTACTTGACCACGCCCATCCGCCCCTCCCACTGACAGCATATGCATACGTATTCTTGCCAGTGTCTTCCTGAACATGATACTGATACTTTATTTTGACATAGCATTGTACTAATAACCAATGTCTAATGATGTACAATACAGTATTAAGGCAGCTACAGTTGCTTTAATTCTCCTAAACTCCTTCTGTCCCTTTATAAAACCCTGTAAAACCCTGTAAATGGTACACAATATAATTAGGTCTTCTCATTTGCTGTCATCTGATCAAGAGAATCAGTTGTGGAGCAGAAATCAACCAGTCTCTCACAGTCTTACTTAATCTAATGTTGTATCACTTGTACAATAATAATGTCACACATTCTTTCTCCTCTCTCTCTCTCTCTCTCTCACTCTGTCTCATAATATTATCATTTGTGATGTACTTTTATCATTTGCATTGTTTTGGTCATAATGTGTCTCAGTTGTGTTAGAAATTGTTTTAATTCAAAAGAAAATATTTTTTTAAACTTACACCAAATTAATGAGCTCAATGCGTCATGTACAGTAGATGTGCATTGTTGGGATTTTTGTGAGCTAATTATGACTGATGTGCGATAGTGTGTGTGGGTGTGTGTGTGTGTATATTAGTGCGCATGGTGTGTTGTTTGATTATCTTTTAGAGATTATTACCGTCTGATGAAGTGAAAGGAAGGACATACCTCATCCGTCCTTATAGAGAAGAAGACAAAGTGAGGAACAATTTGTTTATTATTAATTGTCACCATCTTTATTGTCGTATGTGTTTATTTGTTCCTCTGTTTGTTTTGTTCTTAAGTTATAATGTTTCTCTATTATAGGATGCTTTATATAAGGTTTGTCTTGAAACTGGTGATAATGGTAATGATGGAACTCATCTTTTCTCTAATTTTCCTGAACTCCTGGGAGATAGGTTAGTACATGTACATGTAAACATACATACATGTATGTACCCTACAACTTTTTCTACATTGTCGTGTACATGTACACATGTATATCTTTGTTTTATTTATCTCTCTCTCTTTTTCTTCCTCTCTTTTCTCTCTCAATAGATATGTAGGTCCTTATCTTCATCTTAGTTCTGATTTATGTTACGTGTTAGAGGATCGAGATGGTCCCTGTGGCTATATACTCTCAGCATTGGACTCACTCAAGTTTTATAGAGATTTTGAAACCACGTGGCTACCGATTGTTACCAGGAAGTACCCAGTGATATCTAAAGTGAACACAGATGAAGAGGTGAGCTTTGCAGTTTGACGTTTATTTTCATTTATTTATTTATCTTTACAAGCAGAAGATGTTGCAAGAGATTCATTCTCCCACTCTGTTTCTACCTAATGAATTATACCAGCGCTATCCCTCACACCTCCATATTGATATTATGAAGAGAGCACAAGTAATGTATGCATGCACAGCACACAGTATGCATACACATTACATGTACAGGGTTTCTCACAAAGCATGCTACATGTAAGTTAGCTAAATACAATGTACATGTACAATGTAGCATCAAGAATTTTTACTTAGCCTTTTTTGATAAAATTCAGCCAAAGTGCTTGTACTACATGTACATGTACATACATGTACATGTACATGTAGTACATATACGTACAGCATCTTTGGCCCAATTTTTGAGCAACTTTAAAAATTTATTATAAAATTCGAATTTGATCAAATTTTCTACAACACGTCCATGTACATGTATCATTTGGCGAAGCCCTTACTTATGAAAATTTTTGTATGCATGCATATGTTTGGGGGGCATGACTAGGAGGTGTTGCCAGGAGGCGGAGCCCCTAAATGTTTTACATTCTTTCTAGTGTATCAAAAAAATAAGAGCCTTTTGTAACTGTAATGCTTTATTGTACCATTGGATTTGAATGGAGCCTCAGTTTCTTAGTTGTTATTTAAGCAATCCCACTTTGAGACTTGTTGGATTTGAAATAAGTTTTTTGCTTTAAATTATCTTATGACATGCTCTATTACACGGGTTGTATAAAATCTACTATTATGCATTTCGATATACATACATGTATAGTACATGTATGGCATAATGTATTGTTGCTGTTGTTATATTATTGTACCAGATCACTAGTTTAATACCATTGTGCTATTACTAATGTGATAATGAGGGTTTTATTTTGTTTTTAGGGTCTAGGAAATGGTACTAGTCTAATAAAATCACTCCTTATTATGTTAAAGGAGAAAGGATCCTGTGGCGTTCACTTGGAGATGAGTCCAAAGAATAAACGGGCACTTCAATTTTATTTGAAATTAGGATTTAACGTATTGGACTATCCCAATCATGACTGCCTTATATTAGGGAAGGTATTGTAATTGTGATATTTTGTAATATTATTTATATTGGATTTGGCATTGTTTTACATTTATGTAGAATTCGCTTGTCATTATTATTATTATTATTATTATTATTATTATTATTATTGTTACTATTATTATTAGTATTGACAAAATATTTTATAAATGCTCTTAATCTTAACTGCTAGATACCGTATAGCGGGATTTATTGACAAAGGTTTTATTTTGATGAGTTGACAATTTAAAATAAAACATCAAATTTTATAACCGTTAAAAATTATTTTGTACTTTGTGCCACATGTACACGAAGGGCACTATTCCTCAAATTAAAACTCACCAATTGGGAAATTTACTGTTTTCTTCAATTTTTTTACTCGTCAATAAATCTCGCTATACGGTAGTCTGAGAGTGTGCATAAATTTATTTTTGATTCTAAAATTTGCTAAACAGCACCAAAGAATACTATTGTGATAATCTGCTAAAATGTTAATGTGAAGACACATTTTTAGATTTTTTATAAAGTTAATGCAGCTATAATTGATAGTAGATGATTTTATCTGATTAATAAATGAAATTTATGGAAGGGTGAATCCTGTTTAACTAAACCAGCAGCTATAAACTCTTATGTCATGAACTTGTACATTAAAATTTTTGGTTACTCATTTGTTCCGAAGAATCAAAGAACATCAGGCATACAGTAGGCTCTAAAGATTTTCAGTCTCTTTTGTTTATACCACTGGTTAAAACAGGTTCCCTGTTGTTATGCATATACTGTACGTGTATTTATGTGGTGTTGAAACTTTGAGCTGATTTTGAAAGAAGTTTATTCTTTTACAACTCAATTTAAGGCAAAAGTTTTCACTAACATTAATAAGGTGAAAATTTTCACCAAACTTAAGGTGGTGTTTTTGCATGCTGATATCCATTCTTTAGTTATAAACCTCAAATCACATGATACATGTATGGTTAGTGGCATGATGTGGTTATCACTTTTCCTGCAGTACAAAGGACATAGTGTTATGAAGTTGCATGAAGCATTGAGTATGAGGAAAGCAAACCTAGAAAAACTGGATAGTTGACTGTAAATTAGCTGAGGATGAAGTGGAAATGACTAATATACTGTGTACGCCATATATTTAGCAGGCATAAAATTTCACGATTTTCCTGCATTTTTTGTATTCGCAAATAAAAATTTTGTGATTTTAACATAATTACCACACCTACTATACAATGAGCATGTGCATGCTATTTTGTGGATTTTAATTTCCTAAATTTTTCCAAAACGCAAAAATCATGAAATTTAATCCCCGTGAAATATATGGCGTATACGGTAGCTTATAAAACACACATCATATGTACACGTAACTGTAAATCCTTTGAGTTGATGCTAAAATACTAAAGGATCGTCAAACTATACATGTACATGTATATGCACAAACTGTTGGCTGTACATTAGTTAAGTAAATTAATTATCTTGGTAAAAATTTTTTAAATATAGCTGGAAAATTTGTATACAAATTAGATCTACAGCCATGTGTATTTAGTATAACAATTATTGTTTTATTGATATAAAGCAGTAGGGGTGCATTGAAATGGGGTGATGGGCACTAGGCAGATGTTCCTTACAACAGGTCTTGCCTCTCAAGATCACCTTAAATGAAATTGTACTTCACAATTATTAAAATTCTAAGTGGAAATTAAGTTTATGATGCTTACAAGTATATTTATTGTTTATATTGAAAAATGGTGCATAGTGTACCCCCAAACTTAAACTGCATGCAGCCCTGCAAGACTATATGCAACTTTATTGTTTTAAAGGTTGTCTTCATCCATTACCAAGCTATCAATATACATGTACCTACCATTTTCTTCATAATCTTCTTGATTCACTTGATTAAAAAATCTCTCATTATTTTGATTAGCATCGTTATCATCATTGTCAGATTCTAATTCTTGTTCATGCTGATTTCCTGCTACATGCTGTATTTCATCATATAATCGAATACTTGATGAACTGTTTTGTGTTGAGTTGAGCTGGCGACGCGTAAAATCTTGGCTAATGTTGCTCTGATATACTAGATTAGTAGACATTGGGATTACTTCATCTGTTACTGTTGGTCTATAAAAATAGTTATGCATGACTTTAATTATATTTAATTTGTAACTTACATGTTCCTTTCTTTTTTCTCTTTAAGCTTCTTTTTTAAAATAAAAATGATAGTTATCAATGGTATTGCTACTAGGAACACTGCAATAAAAACATTAGCTGCTATAGACCCTCCAACAATGGCTCCAATTGAAGTAGATCTAGTACCAGTGCTAGTATATACTAGTGTCCATTCAGGGCCAGTGTATCCATTTGGTGGAAACACTAAATTTCTTCCCACTCTAACCTGTAGGTGCACATAATGAGATTGATCTATCACTAAATAATATTCTTACTCTTAGTGCTAGTGTGGTACCAGATGGTTTGTTTGGTGGTATACAGTTAATCTCCTATTTATATGAATAATAATAATACCTGTATGCAGAAATCACTTACAGTATCAGAGCTTGTTCTAATGCTACATGAATCATCACCTAACATGATAGTAATCTCTGACAGACTCACAGACCTTATGTTCATTCCCTAGTATAAATTAGAATCTAATATAATTTTTTATCAAAAAAATATATTGCACAATTATTACAAGCTTTAACTCACTGCAATAAAAATATTGTTAATCTGACCATCATTGACTGATATAGATCTTGAGTTAACATCAATACCAGTAAATATTGGATTAGGTTGTAGTGTTAGTCTCAGATCAGCATTCATGTAATTAGGTGACTCGGCTCCATCTAACATTAGCATATACACAATGCGTGTCCCATAGTAACTGCTGTCTGTCACATTACTAACATTAGGAGCAATACAGATCAACATAGTATCAGTATCATTAATGACACAAGACTACAAAAGATATATTACTATATAGAAAAAGTGTATTATACTAACTTCAATACTACTAGGAGCCAGTCTACTATCAGTAATAGTAATAGTAGGAGACTGAACGGAATTTAAGTTAGCACCAGTGAATACTAGTTGAATACCACCACTAAAAGAATAAGTACCATGAAAAATATGCAGTGCTGTTATACATGTACTTACGCTGGTATTATGTTCATAGTACTGGTACTATTAAAAGTAGGATCAGGTCTATATTGATAACTTATACTAGTATTAGAGAATAAAGCTCCATTGACCGACACTACTACATTCCTCATACAGTCACTAGCATTTATATTACCACTAACACAGTAGATCTCAGTATTAGTAATACTCCTATTAATATACATTGTATACAATAATAGCAATTAGGTGTCTTTAATACTTACATAATAGTACAGTTAATATTGGGACATGTGTTCCTCTTTATTCTTGATGATGATTCTCTCATTATTACTTTTGTCATTTCTTTATTACCAATATCAAAGTTTGTACCTTGTACTCTTATTTTAGTACCACCACTAAAAGGACCATATGTAGGACTGACTGATTGAATGATTGGTGTTATGAACTGGTACTGTGTTGTACTACTGGCAGTTACACTATCGTTAGATCTGGTCACTCTTATTGTAATAGTCACATTCCTGTCTATTTTATCTCTAGTATCAGGAACAACTGTGCATTTTATCCTTGCTCCTGGTTCATATTTGTCAATAATACAGTTTCTAGTACCAATCATAATAGACTCTATGTCAGAGCGCTGTGTACCCAGATTTGTTCCATCAATAATGATAGTTGTTCCACCTCTAGGAGGTCCTGCTTTAGGATTAAAGTCACTAATAATTGGTAGAGGGCAGTTTCCTGTACTAATGACTGGACTAGCATCACTACAATTACTAATGTCTCTACATTGAGCATTACTATTACACCAACTGCAGCTAAATCCAGTACCAATTCTCTGTGCTAAACATGAAGAGCAACCTCTAGCTAATGTAGGACAATCATACAAGATCACTATGTACAGAAATTATAACTGAACAATAAATGAAATTAATTCTTTTACCAGTGAGATTTGCAGTAGCATTAGTCTCTATTGTATATTTCCTTCCATTGTATACTTGTCTAATACTCAATGAGACATTCTGAGTGCCTCTTCCTCCTTCAATTGTTAACTATCAACAATTATTAATCAATTAGTATTAACTGCTACTCACCACAGGATTATTATTGCATGTCACTGTGTTGTCATTGTTAACAGTAGCAGTTCGGGTAACAGTACCATACACACACTCATAACTGAGATCAAGTACAAACTTAAAAATAACAAATATAATTATCATAAATATTATATAACTGCTTGCATGTTTTATTACTAGTAGTGCTATAATCAAGAAAAACATTTTCAGTAATAATACAAACATTACATGAAATACATGAAAGTGAAACGTAATTTAATATAAACCTGTGTGTTGATAGTAGTAAGCATGGTGTTTGTTACAACATTAGCTGGTTGAGTATATCTACCGTCAGATGTTTGTTGATTTGGTTGTAGAAAAGGACAAATACGATTATCAGTTTGTGTCTATAAATTAAGAGGTACGTATTTTTAGTTGCAGAAATGACTCACTGTTAGCCAGTTACCAATAGTACACAAATTCTTGCTCCCTGTACAAGTAAAGTCCAATTGGCACCATCCACATGCTTTAGATTCAGTGCACACACTGCACCTAATAAAATGTATAGTCCACATTGCATTCATAAAGATTTAGAAATTTAATTTACTTTGTTGCCTTCGGACAATTATAGAAAGTAAAGTTATCAGGGCTTGTATAATAGTACACACTAGTTCTGTTACTGTAAATACTGAAAGTAGTACCTATAATATTCATCATTATTATTATACAATAACGGATAAAATATTTACTTAATTGTATGTCTGTAACTTGAGATATTATAGCTTGTACAGAACAAGAACCAATAGTGCCATTGATAGACATTTCTATTGGACTCTTGATACCATTGAAAACACAAAAGTACTGCTCTCCTTGAAGCATAGGAGGAAGTGGAGCTGGTGAAAAAGTCATAATGACCTTAATAGCAAAGTATCATGCATAAATACATTTCTAATGATGCATACTTGATGAGGTTGTTGCTGTGTATCTATTACATAAGTACTTGGATTAATAGATACTGTATCAAAGCAACTATTACTGTTTCCTTGTGTTAGGTATCGTCTTATTTTGTTATTATCCTGACAGAATGGTCTACGTGAACACTTGTTCTCTATCATACACCAACCACACAATGGATCACCTAAACTAACACACTCAGAGCAACTAGTAGCACTGGAACAATCCTCTATCTTTAATGCAATCACCTAATACATACATGATGATTTACTTTTATAGTAATATTATTAAGTAATATGGAATTGTTGATTTTAAATAGACTTTGAATCACCAGAACATTGTGTACTGGTGGGTCAAAGTCTAACAACTTTATTACATTTTCCAATTGTACATGATACATTAACAATGCTAAAATATCTTATCATTATACTTACATTAGAACCACTAATACCATACACATACTCTGAACCTTGAGACCAGGATAATGATGTAACTGAAGAGATTGATGTAACTTCAGATACAAATGCAAGGCTTGTACCATTGACCAAGTGATACTGTAGAATTCATATCAAATTGTATGAAGACTATACACAGCTACTAACCTTAGCAGTATAATTATTGTTATTTAATGTAAATGCAAAGTAATTGAAATCAATGCCATCAATTGACAATCCCAAAAATGCAGTTAATTCATTGAGTACGGTACTGTTAGTAAACAGAGGACTAGGAGTAAAAGAGCTTGATACACCAACTGCTGGAGCTGGAGTGCTACCTCTTGAATCTGATATACTACACTGTTAAGAGATATAATTGTATAAGGTATTATAGATTAAACTCACAATGCTTCCTGATAATTGAGATGACCCTGCAGAACATAATACAGGACTCTGCCAATAGATATTCTTATTACCAGTACCATTAACTACACATGATTGATAAGCAGCATCCATTAAAGAGTTAATCTCAGACAGACTGTATGAACATATGTCCACTGAACTAGTGCGTATTACTATTAACAACGTCTCTTCATTAATAACAGATACACCAAGCAGCGTAGGATTAAAGAAAGATTCTTTGTCATCACAACCTAATGTCAGTTCATATTGATTGTTGAAACCATCAGCTGCTGCACTGTCATTACACACTCTTATTATACGAAGCCGTCTGTTAACACCACTTGTTGGAGGATCATTCACAAAATAATAAGCATATCCTGAAGCAAAGAAACCACTCACAAATACACGATTAAAACTGAAAGTTTGTTGATGTACAGGATTAGTAGCTCTTGACTGTGTACTACCAGCAAACCCATACTGATGATATAGAATACGAGCATTAACATAGCTCCCAGTATAAAAGCTGTTACCATCACCTCCAGGGGCAGTAAACACTACTAGACTAGTAGCAGTCCCACTGTTAGTTACTGTCCTGTTAGCAGGAGCTTCAAGATTAGATCCATCAAGAACAGAACATGTTACACCACCAGCATCAGTACACACTACACACCATTCACCATCTATTGTACAAGCTAGTCCATTAACAGTACCACCAATAGACCCAAGAGGGTCTCCTAATTGTTGTAGAGTAGAAGAGAACCGGTATACTTGAGTAGCAGTGCTCACAAAGACTCCATTAGCACTAACAGCAATGTGAGTCACTGTACTAGATACAGATGAAGAGATGAGTGACTGAGAATTAACCAAAAAAAACAATGAAGGAGGAATGGCTAGTGTGAGAAAGAGAAGAAGAGTTGTTGCTTTCATGATTATCAAAGAAATCAATGAAATGAAGGCACTGCTATAAATGGGTGTAGTCTATGAAAACAGGATCATAACTACCAGATATAGATTTATATGATCAAACTACTGTATAGCTGAAAATACCCTGAAAAATTATGGTTTTTTTGTTATAAGATGTGCAAATTAATTCTGCAAAACATTAATAGCTAGTGTATCAACAGTTTACACCTGACTTAAACCAGCAAATTCAAAATATAGATCTAGTCCCACAAATAATATTTATGGCACATAGCTTACCTTATGAAAGTTATGTAATACTTAAATGCTATGCCTCATACTTCTTATTTAACACTTTAAAATTACAACTTTTATGTCCGCATTGAATATGTACCATTTATATTCTATTTTCAGATCTTTAGCATAAATAATAATCAACAAAAGTAATTTATTTTCTAACAAATAAACAAGTGTATTCTCACAAGATTAAGCTGACAGGAGAGGGGAATGTACATGAGAAGTACATGTGTAGCTTTGTCTTTAATCATAATACATGCAATGGTAAGGCATTGGTACATGCTAAAAGCAACTTATTATTAGAGCATTGGAAGCCAGCTTGTTTCTGTGCGTGTGTGTGTGTGTATCTACATAGGTAGATAAATGGATTATTTTGAACCATTTCATTGTACACAGTATACCATGTACACATGCATGCATCAACAATAAACTCTGCATCTTCATTGTTGCTATTATTACTATTAGATCTATTATTGCTATTTTTTGTAAAAACATAGGTATATGTACATGTACTTCTCTATTGGCATAGTAAAATTTTAATGATAACATACCCACTGCAAATCTTATAGCACCAGATTATTGGCTTTATGCTCCTGATTTACTACAATTATTTTATTGCTTTTTTTTACTTTTAAATTATGCAGTTGATGCCACACTTAAGGGCAATAAGATCCGTTTTACCAATCACTCTGTCCATCCAAACTGTTAGGCCAAAGTGATGATGATAGTTGAAGGTAACCATCAAATTGCGATATTTGCTAAACACAACTACATTGAGCCAGAAGAGAAGCTATTAGAGGTAACAAAGACCTAGTATTAAAAAAATTGGGCATGCAAGCTTGTTTCCCTCAAAGTATGATACATGTAAGTGAACTAAAAAGCATGCCTTTATTATAAACTCATAAAAATTCAAATTTGATCGGAATTGGCTCAAAGTTAATACACAGCATGAAGACTTGTGTGCATATTAGAAAAAAAATTATAAATTGGAAGAATTTTCTTGAAGCCAATTCTGATAATATATGTAGGTTTTAGCCTTAAAATTCGAATTTAAACAGAATCACCTCTAGCTTTCTACACAGCATAAAACAAATGTATCAGAATTCGGAAGAC